CCAAATCAACGGAAATCACATAAGGAAGTGAGTTGGAGTTGGTATTGCTTAGTGAAAACTCTTGATTTCTGAGAAAGGATGAGGGTCAAAGTAAAAAGCTCAAAAGAGAAGGGCTTCTACCACTTCAATTGCTTAATTTGCCGACTGGGTAGCTTTTATGTTGATGAAAGTTCTTATGTTAATAAATTTGTCCCATTGACAATGATTTTTTCCTTCCTTTGAGTCCTTCAACAACCAAAATATTTAATATTTCATCGCCATTTATATCTAGCATCCACATAAATGCTTATGCCATCATTTCAGCTTTTTGTTGCTATAGCAATATTTTGCCTTTTTCCTTTTTATTTTTGTTATTACACCCTCGATAAATTACACTTGTGTGTTATACATATTCTGTTTGTATCTGCTATTATGTGCAAGGGAAAAACTTTTTAATTGAACATTGAATGAACACATTTTTCGTAATGAGCAGAGTTTTTCATTTTCATTGCCGAGATGGAAGTGACTATGAAGCGAACAATAACTTAACTACGCAATGACAATACATACATATTTACTTGTGTATATTAGGGTGTCCCAAAATATAGGGGGAATTTTTTGCGAAATTTCTTTGTAATTTTTTTTTCGCTTGGTATAAGTAAAGTATACATAAATGTATAGTAATTAATTCTTACGTAAAGTTGAACTTTTCCTAAAAAAAGTGTCCCGAGTTTATCGAAAAGGACAGTACTACTTGTCATATATGGAAAGTTTGATGCATGTGTAATTAAAAAGCTCAATCGTACTAAAGGACAAAAGCGCTCTCTCTCAAATTGTGCGTTGGTAAACTCTGTTTAAACTCTTTGAACAATGGCAAGATTTGCACTGCGTTCGATGATGCGATGGGTATCCAAGTAACCGCCCTGCGTATTTATGTGATATCATAAAGAAGTCCAAAGTTATCTAGTCGGATTATGTCAGTGTTAAAATTATGCCATGTATGGGATTGATTTTTTAAGCCTTAAGCGTATTCATGACACTGTGAGTGATGAGCTGCACTCAGTTTTCTATGTGAAGTGAACTTTATGCAGAACGCTAATTCGGTGTTGGATTTGTGTTGGGGGAGAGACTCCGTTGCCAAGTGCTGTCGTCCACCCCGGTGGAGGGGCATGTAGCCAACATCCGTATCAAAGCGGGGTTGTTCAACATCTCGCTCATTTGCGCCTACCCCCGACGGAAGAGAAGGTTGAAGCATCCAAGGATTTCTTTTATGAGCGCTTGCAGAGTATGTGCGCCCAACAATGCACGGAAAGCTCAACGTTGAAAAGCTGTAATCAAAGCAGATGACGAATGCACCTGCTCTCAGAGAGCATTCTTCAACATACCGACATATGCCACCACATTTCCCGCTCATTAAGTACCGCCGCCGAAGAAACAATCGAATTTCAGCGATACCGAAAGAACAACTGGTATGATCAGGTGTGTCAGGAAGCTGCAGAGAAGAGAGATGCCGCCTACAGGGCCACGCTGCAATCGGGAGCAACGCGAACCATGTGCTAGCCGGAGCTGAAGAGGTAAGCGAGACGTGCTTGCCGCAATAAGAAGAGAGAGGCCGAAATAGGTGAGTGCGAAGAGCTTGAAATGCTGGCCGACAGGGTGAATGCCCGAAAATTTTACCATAGAGTTTGCCGACTTGCGGGAGGTTTCAAGACCAGCTGCAAGAACAATAATGGCGACCTAGTGACTGATGCTCAGAACGTATTTAAATTGTGCCGGGAACACTTTTCCACCCCACTGAATGGTAGCAGCATGGAAGGTTGTGGAGAAGAAGAACCCGAGCCCCCAGTCGATGATGACGGAGTCGATGTTCCACCATCTGACTATGACGAGGTACGAATAGCAGTTACGCGGCTGAAAAAAACAATGCTAATGGAGCTGACAGCCTGCCAGCTGAGCTATTCAAGTATGCCGGCCAGGAGCTAATAAAGTTTATGCATCAAATCTTATATAGAATATGGTCAGATGAACGCATGCTCGACGAAAATTCGGTAGCCCCAAATATAGACGTAAATATTTAGTATTGTTGGAAAGATAATATTTATATCCATTACCTTGTTGGATGTTTTAGAGGTCGTACTGCTACTGCCTGATTTTTTCTGTCGTAGGAGAGCTTGGAGGTGTGCTATGCTATTTAGCTCTAATTTAGCTTCAGTTGCCTAATTTGAGAAGCGCTTTTCCTTTTGTATTCATATTTGGCCCAAAAAGCAGCGAAGAAAGGGGGCCTCCACCTAGACATAGTATGTGTGCTTAATAGAGTTGTCAAACTATCGATGGCGCTATCGATAGTATCGATAGTTTCATTTTTTTTTAGACTATCAATACTCATTGATAGTTTTTTCTTATACTATCAAAAATATCGATAGTTTAGTAGGACTATCGAACTATTGTTGGTAATACCGGAATTTTTTAATTTGAATTAAAAATTTTGTTTTTTAGTGTGATGCCGACGTCATATTCAAATAGGCACGCATTTAGGCCAACATACATACATGTGTTAATCGTAAATCCTGTTTTGTTTATATAACTTGTATTTGTTTTTGAACTTTCTAAAAAGAGAAGTATTTTGGCTAAGCAGTTACTTAATTTTGAATGATTGTAACTTTTATAAGATAATATTTATTTCAATATGATCCTGTAAAAACAAAGCAACCTAACTGATTTAGCGCTATCGATAGTGCTATCGATAGTTTTGTTTTTTTTTCGAGACTACCGTGAATATTGATAGTTTTTATGAAAACTATCAAAACTATCGATGGTGTGACTATCGATAGTTTGACACCTCTAGTGCTTAACTGGGTAAAGTTGAGTAAATAGATGGGAAGCTTGACCGACATCCAAAGCACTGCGTTTATTACGGTGCTTTATGAAGTTCCCCAGGCTAGTTGATATCCATGAACGGGTCATATAACAAACTAAATCGAAAGTTGTACGGATATAAGGGTTGGGCAGATATTTCGTTGAGGTGGATATGTAGGATAATTTAGGTTTAACATTTCACCTGTAACGAAACAGAGGTTCATTACAAAACCGTCTTGGCTACGGTATCTTTTTAACCTATTTTAAATCTAATCTTACCTTGGTAAAAAAATATAAAGTGATATTTTTTTTAGTGCACCATCTGTTCATTGAGTTCTACGTATAAAATAAATACATCAATGAAAATTTAAAAATTTTAGACAGTTTTTAGCTGTCGTTCCCAAAGTTGTAAAAACTTAAATTAAAAAATTAAATTTTTTCAAACCCTGGTAGCGAACCCTGAAAGCAGAAATGCAGAACAAAATAAAGGTGTGCCCCATACAAAATTTAGATGTTGATATTTTAAGGAACATCCTAATATACATATGTACTTGTATACTATATTTTAGCACAAGTAATCAATAAAATGCCGGTCAAATCAGAGAAAGTGCGCTGAACTTTATCAAATAACTTCTTTTGACTAATTTTTAGACAAAAATAAGGACAGTGGTGTTTTTTGGCTATAAAAAAGAAAAATTAAACTTTAACTTAATACTGCATTTCTAATCAGTTGTTTGGAAGCTATACATTATACAAAATTGATCTTGTTTATAGAAGCATATGAATTTTTTCGGAGTCGGCGTAAAACTGTAGATTCCTCCTCTTTGTGGCACGCTCTAAATCGGGGGAGAAGCTCGACCAATCTATTATTATTTTTAAATACTTCTTCATCGCCCTATATCTTCTTCTTCTAGTACTTTCAAATTCTGGTTTCACTTCCATCATAGATTAAAAAAAAATACTTACCTGAATTTTATTTAGTTCAGCTAATTTAAATAGTAGAAAAAAACTTGTGTTTTTTTTATGAAAACTAAACAAATTTATTTTGCATTTTGCCCGTACGTATTTCATTTTGCATAAAATAAATATTATTATTTACATTGTACTCAAAATGTGCCCGAATTTTTGCATCATCTGCCATGGCCTCATCGGTAAATGAATTAAGAATTAATATTTGTACACAGCTTTCTTAACAGTTATACACAAAACAACTTTAACATTAAATACATACATATATGTATATATGTATGTATATAGTACTAAGTAAACTATGTAGTTTAGGCAACTGGCGCACTGTGCGCTCACATCAGCCGCTTATATATAGTGTCACTTAATCATATCACATTTTTCTATAAACTTTTCTTTATTTTCTTATATATATATTATACATACTTCCCTCTCATTTATATAAATTAAATAAATAAATGTGCTTGAGACAGTAGTTTTTGTTAAACATGGCTTTATAAAGCGTTATGCAAGAAACTGTACCTAGAATTTTCAATTTATTCATAGAAAAATAAACATTTTCGTAAAACATATTTTACTGCACGTATTGTTAGCGGCTACAATTTTTTACGAAATTAGTGGTGTTCAAACTTGCTGGAAAGATTTTTTTTGCATTTGTAAGGAAATAATGAAATATTTGAATAGTTTGTGAAAAAAATCAGAAAATTTCAGCATTTCTTTGAGAAAGCAAATGCCCAGTAAGACCTTCTGAGTTTGAGAGCAACATGAGTTTTGCTGCCTCGAAGCATTCTCAGCCATAGCTGAGCCAAATATTAACCCAGTTCCTGACACTGCGTTCGATGGCTGTAGGCAGGGGTGCTATGACTGATATGAGAGCATTTTCTACTTTGGATGTATGTACATATGTAGTTTTACAGCTGGCCAGTTTCTTTAGTGCAACTTCGTTGACACTAACACTGTACGACATTTTCAGTTTTTTTTTGTAAAGAATTGATGAACTCAAGTTTTTCTGAATGTCTGAATTATATCGAGCCCTCACCGCCAAAATAACGTAAGCGACATTTTTTTCAAAATTTTCTTTTTGATGCAGAAATGCATCTAGATGCTCTAGGAATATTTCTGCATCAAAAAGAAAATTTTGAAAAAAATGTCGCTTACGTTATTTTGGCGGTTAGGGCTCGATATTTGTGAAGAAAAGTAATTTCTCAGTTTTCCCAGGCTGGCGATTTTAAGATTTTTTTAAATCAATTTGAAGTTGATGGTCGCAGATCAACATTTAAAACAATTAAAATTAATTTAAACGCAAATATTTATGCATTTAAAAGGACTCTCTGGGAAGTTCGGCGTCCGAGGAAACTGAATTTGCAATTTATTTTTACCAAAAACAACCGCTTTGGTGCGATTTGATGCAGAAAAACCAGGTAGGAACATGAAGAAAAAGCGCAGAATGTTTCTCAACAATGTTGCTAAGCAATATTTCTACATGCTGTATTGCACCAAGGCGTAGCCAGCGGCCGTTTTTGATAAAATTAAATTTCAAACTCAGATTCCTCATGCCTATTTAAGTTGCCAAAATGATGTGAAGGTTTAGAGGTCCTGTGCTCAACGTGAGACTTGCATCCCAGTTTGCCATTCAGAATCGCTTCTAACTAGATACTTAACTTTGGAGCAAAATCTGAACTGTTACTACTTTCAGTGTGAACTAACCAACTTTCTCCTTCCAGTAAATTGTTCCTAGTTATTTTAACAATTAATTAAAGCAATGTTTACAGGGAAAAGTTGCTTTTTAAATTTTTGAAAGAAATGTTATCAAAGTGAAAAGAGTGCACAATTCATATTGGTAACTATAACTTGCAACCATATTGTATATTTTCTTATACGTATCTTTTAGATCGCAGTTATATGTACATATATAACCTATATGCATGCTGCTGAAGCGTTGGCAATTATCCAGCTTATGGATTTTCCGTACCATTCTCACTGCTCTTTCTTTTTTTATAAATTTACTCTGCTATTTTTGTGCTTTTTCCATTAACAACATTGAGTTAAATTATATTCAGTAAACATATTTACTTAGTATGCCACCATATCACTCTGCTTAATTCTATTCATTTTCTAAATTTTTTGCGCGTAAATATTTAAGCAACATTTGTAGTGAATCATATGTATCGAAGTCGTCAATATTTCGTCTGGAAGAAGTCATATTTGTTGGTCGGGGTAAAGCAAGCGGCACCGGTAGTAATTCGGGCATAACCGAGTGATGTGTGATTAAGGCCTGAAGCGTGGAGAACTCCTTACGGAAGCCCTACAAATATACAAAGAAATTGAAGAAACAAAATAAGATCGAATTTAAAAACCTTTATCTACTTGCATATATATTTTTAACCAAAAACTTAAGTGCAATCCAACTCGAATGCTTACCTTGATTTTAAAGCCTCGTGTCGTCCGCAATATTATATAGTTGGCAGTTTTAGGTCCGGGTGGCGATGGCACACGCAGCGTTAAGGCATAACAACCCGGCTTAGAAGTGCTTTTGCGCACCAAAAAGGCACCAGGACTCTTATTGTTAAGCACTTCGACAGCAATGTCCCGAGAAATTCCAGCCTGAAACCAAGAGGCATCTTTGAGATCAGCTTCATCGGCATCATCATCTAAGACGACATCGCTGGCGGTGGCAATGTTAGTATTTGTGTAGGAGTTGGTGGTGGTGTTGGAACGAATAGCCGCCGAGAGGGTATTAGCGCGCAGGCGATTTGCGAATATTTTCGGACTGGAGTTTGCTGTAATTCAAAGAAAAAATAAATAGAAAATTCATACATAAGTATTACATGAAGTGTTTGGCTGTGATAAGTTTGGCTTAGTAGTTTTAATGCTTGCAAGCGTTTGATTAAGGGAGGTTTTTTTTTTTTGAAAAATTTTATTTTCCATTTTTGTCAAAGTCTATGAAAAGGGGCCAGAGGTGTCACAAAAGCAGTTTCGCAGATGACCTTCCCGATACTAGGAGTTTGGATTGCAGTCTTCAAAAGGCTGGACATTTAATTTCGTCATCTTCCAAGAACTCCGATAGGGCAGTGTCTTGTCAATACGCCCACCAGAATTGAGAGCTGCGGGTTTGTAAGCCTAAGGGCATAAATTGACCGCTTCCGATCTTCCCTCAGGCAGAAAACCATACATACAGCATTCCCTGAGCTGACACGAGGCCCATCTGCTCAAGCATAGTCCACATGTAGTCAAGGGTGACTCACATCGACCACAGCATATCTTTCCGGACCAGCTCATTGAGCAGGCGATTTTCTACAATATCGAAACGGTCTGGCACCCATATAAATCTGTCTCAGAAATGTGTATATTGGCTTGAGAAAAAGCTAGTTCCCAACTTACTCTGTATTATTTTGAACGTGAGAATTAGAAATTTCTCGAAAGTTTGAGAATCAGTGGAGAATATTCATATGTTTGTTGTAAGCAATCAATTCAATAATAATAAACAGTTTTTGTTGCATTTGCATAATAAATTAAATTTTCAAATTGCACCTCCTCCTAAATACTCGACACTAACAATTTTATGCTCTTATGTCTCTCTTCTCAAAAGCAAAAAAAAAAATTTGGGTGCTAAGTACAGTAAATAGTTGTTGAAAAATTCATCTGCGAAAAATTGCATTACAAATATCACTCACCACTGCTCGTCTCGCGCAAATAACGCTTCTTCAAATTGAACTCGCTGTTGTCGTTCAGGTTCACAGTGTCCAACATTGGTATGGCCGTCAACGATTGTCGACATGAATCACCAAATTTGCTTGCAATAAACTTCTCCGGCTCAAAAGCTTCCTCATTAATGTAACCATTCGAGTAGATTTTATTGCTTGTTGAACTATCGAGCTTAGAGTTGTTCAGCAAGTTTGTGTTAGTCGTATTTGTGGGCGTCGCGATATTAACCAGCGGGCGCGATTCCTCATTCGTACGCAAGAGGCCCATAGTTAAGCGTTTGACCTGAAAAATATGCAAAGAAATTGTGCAAAAAAATTATTCAAATCGCCCAAAAATGTGCTAACAAAAATAAAAGTAAAAACAAATAAAGCTACGGCTGGCATGTATTAAAGCTAACTCATCAGCCTGCTTGCATTTTAAATTATCCTTGAACTTCAAAACTTAACGCCCACAGGCTGGAAAAAGTACCCAAAAAGTACTCGGTCAAAGTTGAATAAGTAAAGCTGTGAGGGGCAGAGTGTGGAGTGTGCTTTTACAAGTTCCCAGTTAAGCCGCAAAAATGCACTTTTTTACGGTTTGCAAGAGTTAAAAATGCAGGGAAAAATTTCGAAAGCTGCAACCTCAAATGTGCGCTAAGGTACAACAAAAAAAAAAACCAATGCCCACATTGAAGTGTTCGAGCTTAAGCACAGTCTCACGCGCTATAAAGTATGCTTTGATTTTGTTTCCACCCATTTTTTGTGCCTTTCCACATTATACTGCTTTCTGCTGTTTGTCGACGCGCCCCAGCCGTATTACATGCAATGCCTTTTTCTTGCAGCATTTTTCAGTTTTTCAGGTTTTCCCCCCTCTTTTCACAACTTATTGTTGCCTGCTGCTTGCTTACGCCGGCTTCAGTAGTATTTAATACACAACCAAACATTTGTGGGCGAATAAATTTCCGGCTATAGAAATTTATTACCAAAAAACCATAGGAAACGAGCTGCAGCACAATGGCATATAATACGAATACCTGTGAGAGCGCTGGAAGTGAGTTGGAAA